CCTAGAGGCTACAGCACTAAGTGAAGCTGGAAGGATTTATAGCCAAGATGGGTCAAAAAGGGCATTGGAAATATTTCCCAAGCTCAAATCAAGCAACACTGGGAGCTGGGAGTCTGGACCCCCTTCTCCAGCTCACCTGGCCTTCACCTGACCTTCAGCCTGGAGCCCTCAGCAAACCTGGGCCCCAAGGTGGCTCTTAGGGAGGGAGTTTTGCCAAGAGCAGAAGGATGTGGTGCCCTTTTCCTCCTGGGCACCTTCTCCTGCTGGAGGGGGTCAGGAGGAGCCCATCCTTCAACTCCAGTGGAGAATATTCCTGGGAACACACTTGCCCAGGGGATGTGCACAGCCCAGGTGGGCAGCACAGGGTGTGTCCACAGTGTCTGTCCCCACCAGCAGCCACGTGCAGGGGACAGCAGGTGAATTTTCCTCCTTTGGAGGTGCCTGGAGTGTGGCCAGAGGGGCTCAGACCGAAGGTGGGTCCAAACCTGTGTCCCTTCACCCCCAGCTCCAGCCAGAGGTGACAGGGAAGGGCAGAGCCAGGGGGCAACTCCAGATGCTGTCCCACCCCCAGCAGGTTGCTGGCCCTGCACTGGGGACAAGTCTTTGTGTCCCACAGCCCCACCGGGTCGTCTTCCAAGAATCTGTCCAATTTCTTACCAACCCATCATGATTTTTGGGCTCCATTTGTGCAGTGAGTTCCGTGGCTTAATTACACATTGTGTGAAATATGTTGGCTTTGCATCTGCTGCTCAGTAATTCCATTTGGGGCCTCTTTGTTTGCTTTGTGTCCCCACACAAGAGCCACCAGCCCCTATTCACTGTCCTGGTGCCGCTGCACCAGGGAATACAACTCAGGGAATACAACTCCCACCTCCTTGTTCCTCCTGTCTGTCAATTCTTTGCGAGACAAAAAGGGTGATTTATTTAATTGTTGCTGATACAATGTGCTAAACCCCTCCTTTCCCCTCCAACAGTTAATTACACTTGTTAATTATTTTAATTATTCCCAGGGTGATGCTGTAGGTGTAGAGGAGCCCACTGGGCTGCACACGTGGGAATAAACACGGAGCAGGGAAGTCAGAGTTTGCTCCAAGATTTCTGTTGGTAACAGGTCTGTAACCACATGGGTGAAACAGAGCAGGGAAGGCTTGGCCTGGATTTGGAACTGTCTGTTTGCAGCAAGGAAAGATTTATAGGAGGAGAAGGCAGATCCTGCAGGATTTCCCTGGGATGGGGCACTCGGGGCTTGGAGAGGCGACTCCGGCCTTTCCCTGCTGCAAAATGGAACCACGACTTGGCCAGGCAGTTCTGGGCAGCACCTCTGGGATGGTGGGTTTATACGAGGGAAGGAATCAAGCCAAGCAAACTTCCAGCCCGCTGGAAAGCCGAGGCTCAGCCCGAGGCTCAGGCACAGCCCACCTCTATCCCGGCCGTGTTCCGAGGGAGCGGCCCCGGCCCCGTCAAACAAAAAAGCTGTTTGTGGTCTGTGGAGCAGCCCCTGCCAGCGCCCTCGGAGCCAGGGTGAAACCCGAGAGCAGCCCCAATCCAAACCTTCCCCACAGCTCCTTTTATCTTCCTGGGGGGAAAACAAACAGCGCAGGAGCCGAGGCTTTGTGGCCGGGATGTCGCACATCTGGTTTGAGCTCCAAGAAATGCACTTCCACCCCCTCCCCGAATTGTTCCTGTTAAACAAATAAAACCCCGGCGAGTTTGCGAGGTTTTGGCTTTGGGGTAACTTTGGAGCAGCTTTGACTGTGAGTTCCAGGCTTGTGCTTCTTTCATTCCTAACGGGAGCAGCTCACCTCGCTCCTGGGAGGGAGGCACTTCCAAAGGGGGTCCTGGGACCCCCCATGCCGGGAATGCCGAGGCTGGGAGGGGGTAGTGGTCTTGACCACTCTGTGTTTAGGTTTCAATCCAGCATTTTTCCCTGTGTTATTCATGCTTCCTCCCTTCCCCCCTTTTTGAGAACGTCTGGAATTGTTTAAGATGTGTCCAATTGTATTAAGATTCCTTTGAGTGCTTTATGGTGTCAATTGGATTCCAACTCTTAGGAAAGGAGTTTTCTAATTTGCCGTTTTTTCCCTTTTCTATCACATAAGCACCAACTTCCTTTCAGTCCTTTCAGGTGTTACCTCAGCCTGAAACTCACCCTAATCCTTGGACATCACATACACATTCCCATTTGACACATTTCCAGTGACTCCCTGGATGGTGCTGCAGGAGGAAGGCAGGGAGTCATTCCTGGGGGATCCTCTCCCACTGGTCCCTCTGTCCTCTTCCAGTAGAGGTGGATAAATCAGAGCAGATCACAGAATCATGGAATCACAGGATGGTTGGGGTTGGGAGGGACCTTAAAGATCATCTCATTCCACAGGCAGGGACACCTTCCACTAACCCAGGTTGCTCCAAGCCCCGTCCAAGCTGGCCTCAAACACTTCCAGGGATGGGGCAGCCACAGCTTCTCTGGGAGCAGTTGAAAGGTGTGGGATGAAGGGCGTGGGAGCAGCATTCCAATGCTCTCCCCATCCTCTCCTGGACTCACCCAATCCCAACCTAATCACGCTCCTTCCAAAGCCGGGCACGGTGCCCTCGAGTCACCTGTGATTCCATCCCCACCTCCCCCCTCACTGGTGACCAGCTCCAGCTCCTCCGGGCATGGGACAGGCTCTGGCTGGAAACCACGTTGACATTGTTCCCTCCAAACGAGGGAGGCTCCTCGACAGCCCCGGCAGGGCCTGGGGGTGTTCTGGGCTCTCTGGAGCCCGTCCAGGGCATCAGGTTTCAGAGTGGAGGCTCCGGCAGCTGCAGGGGAAGGAACAGCAGCGGGGACAGGCAGAGGGAGGAGCCATCCTTGCCATTCCAGGGATTCAATTTGCTTTCTCCTTCATCAGATTAACGCCAATGTAACTCCATTAACTGCCAGGGAGATGCTCAGGATCTGAAAATCAGACCTGTTGGATTTTTATAGACTCACAGGATGGTTTGGGCTGGCAGGAGCTCATCTCATTCCACCCCAGAACTATTAATCTCTTCACCTCGTTGCATCAAGGTCTCTAATTGTTCTGATTAATAATGACAATCAGATTCACAGCAATTCCATGGATCTTTCATAGCCAGTATCAGAACAGGTAACACACACTGCCTGCACCCAGAGCCAGCCAAGGACCTCAGGGAAGGTGGTTTCTCCACAAATTCCAAATAAACCTGAAAGTAGGTTGACTCGACAGGGTTTTTTTTTCCTTCAAACCCTCTACTTTTCAGACAAACTAAGCCAAGTTTGGGATGCACCATGGAGCTGGGCTTTGGTTCGGTGTCTGCACACCAAGACCAACCCACGAGGAGGGTTTGGCAGAAGCCACACAATCCACTGAGTTGTGCAACTCCCTTGATCCCCCATGGCTGCGAAAAGTTCTGAATGTGTGAGGAAGTTTGTCTGAAAAGTTCTTGGGCAATTTTCTGTACTTATTTGAAAGAGGAATTTGATCATAACAATAGTTATAGAATTAAGAACAACTCCCACCCTGGCACCAGAGGAGGAAGAAATAACCAGAACCAAACACTCAGCTGTATGTTCTGGGTAACAACTTCGGGACTCCAGTGTTTGAGGGACACAGCTCAGCACCAGTGACCTCAGTTAGTGTAGGATGGGCTGGTTGTACCGTGGCAGAGGGATGGGCCTGTGCTAGGAAGGAAATATCGACTATATTCAGTGTCTGCTGCTTAAATAACAATGCTTGAGACACTCAAGGAGGCTGAAGGAGAAGAGAGAAGGTTCAACAGCATCAGGAGCTGGAGAAGGAACTCCCCTTCCTGCAGAACTGGGTTTCTATTTGAAGCCCTTTTAGAGAAACAACAGGCTGGGGGAAATGTATAAGACATTTCATTCCAATGTTTTCTCCCTGGAGTTCAGGCCTGTCGGGATTTCTCATCAACTACAGGCTAAACTCATGGAATCATGGAATGGTTTGGGTGGGAAGGGACCTTAAAGCTCATCCAGTGCCACCCCCTGCCATGGGCAGGGACAGCTTCCACTGTCCCAGGTTGCTCCAAGCCTCATCCAACCTGGCCTTGGACACTTCCAGGGATCCAGGAGCAGCCACAGCTCTCCCAGCCTGTCCTCTGTAGGGGAGGAAATTCAGTGAATCATTTTTAGATGTAAAAGGTTCGGGATGAGATTTGAACTATTGTTGGATCATTTTCAAACTGGAAAATCAGAATTCCCCTGGTTTTACCCACATCTCACCACTCTTCCAACCAAGCAAAGGGAATCCACTTATTTATGTCCAGTTTTAACTGGACGAGAGACCAGAGTACATCCCAAAATGTCTGCTGGATTAAGGGAATACACTGCCAAGGAAAAGGCCCCTCAGAACTCTCTCACCTTTGCTGCTGAGGAAGCTGGAGCCCAGTTACCCCTGAGCAGTTCTACAGAACAAAAGCAGCAGGAATAAGAATTCCCAGCACTTCAGGCCTGGAAAATTAAATCCACATTAAACATCCTCTAGTAGCCCGTGCCCTGGGGGACTGATCCTGAATCCCACATTTAATCCAAGACACTCTGCCCTGAGATGCTGAGCTGGGGTTTGGATATGAGATAAAATATTCAAGCCCCTGGAATTTCCAGGCTGGGCTGCAGAACAATTTAAAGGCAGAGATAAAGTTTCTGCATTGCAGACATTTTTCTTCTTATTAAATACATCGTGTAGTTGGTCACTGATGGGACGAGACTTCCTATAAAAGGAGGGTTGAGCAGGAGAATTGGAAGTGTCCTTGACAAAGCTGCACAGAAAAGCTGTAGCAACAAAACTGAGACTAAACCCCCAGTCCACTGCTCTGGTCCAGCTGTTATTCCCAGAATAAGGAAGTTTGGATTAATGGGAAATCACACAACTGAAGCAGAGAGGGGTTCAAGCCCCAAAGCTCTTCACTCTCTCCCTGTCCCACTGCAGCTCTCCTGGAATTTGGGAGCTTTCCAGCAGCACAAGCAACAAACCACAATCAGCTTTTGAGGAGTCTTTTTTATTAAGATAAATCCAGCAAAATTCCTAACAGTGGGTACATACAACCAACCTGCCCTTTTTGAAAAGAAATGTTTGTATTTCATTTAAAAACAGGATTACACTTTTATTTATTTATTTTTCTTTTTTTTTTTTTTTTTCAAAACTGACAAAATAAAATTACATTTGGGAAACAACAGATTTCCAGCTCTTAAGTTTTTTTTTTTTTCATGAAAATAGCTCACCTTCTTTATAAAAGCAACCCACAGAACCACTGGAATGTTTCACACAGTTATTTGTTTTGAGACCTCCCCACTTTAAGAAACCATACAACACATACAAGGGAAAAATTAAAATCTGAAGTCTGTAAGCATGACTTACACAAAAAGGGACACACTGACAGAAGTCAAAAGCTACCACCACTTATTCTTTCCATGTACCATACAAACTATTACAATCACAAAATTTAAAAACAATGACTTTTTTTTTTTGTTTTGTTTTGTTTTTGTTTTGTTTGTTAGGGATTTAATTCCCAAGTAACCGAGATGAAGATGTTCCATAATTAAATTCATGCTAAAAAAACCTGCATTTATAAAATAGTTGATAAAAATATTCCTCTCTGTTAACAATACAGCATGGAGGTACGGAGACCAAATGATGGAGATATAGGGCAGGGTTAACATTACTCGGACTTGGCTTCCTTATCATCAGATGCTTCAGCAGCTGGTGCCTATAAAAGTGTTTGGGAAGAATAGAAATATTATTGGAAATGCTAATTGGATTCCAATCTAACAAGCATCAAAGAGAGAGAGCAGTTTTGTTAGCAGAAATGTGGACACTGTGTGTGGATAGGCAGGAAGGCACAGAAAGTACGGACACAGCAACAAGGCTGATAGTTGTAAAAATTCAAACAGCCAGAGGTAATTTTGGAATAAGTGCCTACAGAGAGGCAGAAGTTGGGAATGTATTTTAGATTAGGACCAATGATAAGCCAGGGGAACTTCAAGCCCTCATTGTACAAGGAAGTGTCAAGAGTTACACATCAGCCTGTGGTACTGGTCTGTTGTCCAGGCTTTGGGGAATCAGTTCCCTCCTGTTCTCTACAAAAATGTGCTTTTACTATTGAAGGTAACACATCAAACCTGCAAAGCTCCTCTCAAAGACCCTCTGAGGCACATCAGCCACGTATTGCTTTAGCACAGCAGCTCCTGATCTCATTTTAGAAATGAAAGAATAAACAACTGGTTGACTGATGGTGACACTGAACCCGTGAGGAGAGACCAGTGTCAGTCACAGAACACAAGGGCAAAGAGAGCCCTTGGAAAACTCTGTGCTCCTACTGTCAGCAAGGGATCTGCTGGGAAAATCCTACCAGGATGGAGCCTGCAGCTGGTCCCAGCAAGAGGCAGCTCTGAGGTAGGAGCTGCCACAGCAAGGACCTGTGAGAAGAGGCTGCAGATGAAGAGACAGGACCGAGCTGACTCTGCAGATCTCTTGAATTGTTCTGAGGGAAAGGATTGTTTGAAGGAATTGTGTAAAACTGAAAACCAGATTTCTGGCCCAGCACCAGCCCGTGCTGAGCAGCAGAGGGAAGCCAGCAGCCCAGAGAGGGTGTGCAGAGTCAGCTCAGGGCTGGAGAGCTCTCCCTGAGCTCCATTGTTCCCAAACACTCGGCAGTGCCCGAGCCAGCCCTGGAGGGACCCCGGCACAGCACAGCCCACCTGTGGAAGGGCTCCAGCACAGGGCAGGAAGGAGCTGGAAGGACAATGCTGTTCCTCCAGGCTCTCCCAGTGCAGATCCCCAGCTGGGCTGTCCTTCCAGGGTGGCAGTGAGACCCCCCACCCCGTGAGGAGCCGAGGGGAGCTCCTGCAGCTGGATTCCCAGCACACCAGGCTGTATTCCCATGGTTAGTGCAGCTAAAGTACCTCGTTAGTTTTGGTATCTCCGTTTTCAGAGTGGTTTTCTTCTTTAGCATCCTCCTGTTTAGTTTCCTCTTTGCCTTTGGCTCCTTTCTTCCCTTTTGTTGCTGCCTTTTTGTCCTCCTTTTTATCATTTGCTGCTTTTTCTTTCTGTTAAGAAAACAGACCCACGGTATTTTAAATCCTTATTTCCCACCTTGTACATCTGCATGTTTATAAATTCCCAAGCCCTCCACACAACCTCCTTCCACACCCCAAACTTCCCATTGACAAAGATGAGATCAAAGTTTTGAAGGAGTGTTTTCCTTCTATGCTCTCCTGAACATGCTACTGGGAAGTGCAAAATAAAAAAGGAGCCATGGCTGGGGTTAAAAGAATTCCTATTTTAATTAGGCATTCAATTAAATTAGCTAAAAAATGTTGAACTGGCCTTTATTTGTACCCTGCTGCTGAAAGGCAGACACAGAACAAAACCAACATGTACAACTAGTGGAAATACCAGAATCCTTCAGATGTGCTGTTAATGCCTATTTAGAAAACTGTAAAACTGTAACAAAGCTGTAGTCCAAGGACTTTCCCTCTTCCCTGCCAAAAATATTCCTTATTATAATAAACCATATGTGTGACAGAAAAACTGGGGGCTCAACAGCATCACTCTGATAACAACGAGAGCTTTGCATTTATTATTTAAGTGCAGTTTCTTATACGTGGATCAGGCTAAATCAAAACAAACACCAAAACTTGATGCTTCTGTAGTAATAATTTTCCACAGGCAAGGTCAAATCCCGACCCAAATAACTGACTCTCATTAGTTTCACTTCCAAGGATCTGCCTCTTGCTGCCAGTAAGTAACTGAACTAGCTCAGCTCCTGCTTGATTAACCTACTTCCAACAAAGGAACCATGAAACCTGCACAATCTATTCACAGGGAAGTGAAGAAAACCAGAAAATTACTGAAATATATACATATACTCAAAAGATTTGTCTCAGCCACTAGAAGTTACTAAAAGGTTACAAAAAGTTTACTTTATTATTCCAACCCCTCGCTGATTAGTGCACAAAACTAATTCACCTTAAAAATGAGCTGCTGGTTAAGGGCAAACTCATGAAATAAAGGGTGAAGGCACCTGATCCTTCAGTGACACTGATGATTAAAAATTCACCAAAATTAACAGCAAATCCTACAATGGTGCAGAACATTTAAGACAGTGAGTCAGTAGCACTCAAATGGGTGAAGGTCTCTTTCCTCTCTAACTTCCCACATTCCAGTCTTGGGGATTTCAGCCCACCTGGGAAACTCTACTACAATGTGGTGGCAGGAACTCCCTGTACTGGGAATACCCAGGTGTTCTGGTGCTGTTTGGCAGCAAGATTTAGAATTACAGTTCTACTATGGCAGTGGTTACCTTTTCCTTCACCCCATTAAAAAGAGACAACAAAGTATTTACAGAGCTAAAATTAATTCCCTGTAGCCTCCCCCCCGTGCTGGTAAAGCCCCTCCTCAGAAAGCATTTGAGGAGAATCCAGGGAAACTGGGTTCCATGGCTGGAGAGAAAGTGTCTCCCAGGACACAGCATTGTATTCATGTTCCTCAATAATTCTGCTATAGAGGAGAGATGGCAACAACAATTCTGTACTAAGGTCACGTGTTTTAAAAGTGACAAAACTCCTTTCCCAGCTCTGGTTTTCAAAGTTTAACAGGTGAAATCTGTTCTCACACACAAAGCCACTCCAAGAACCTGAAGGTTGACAAGCATTTGGGGGAGATGGGAATTAAAAATGCCTCCACAGTCCCGTTTTTCAGAGGTATTGGTGCAGTATGAGGAGCTGTAGAGAGCCAAAAATGCAGCTCTGGTATTCTGGCTTCAAACAGCACCTTAGGAGCAATAGGAACAATGCTTCCAAGTCAAGCTGGGGGCAATTCCCAAGGCACTGCTCCCAGGAGTTATCCCAAAGGGATACCACACTATACAGTTGTGCAGTGAGGGCCCAAACTAGGCTTTGACAGCCTCTTACTGCCCTAAAGTCCAGCATCCGTGTTCCTACAACTTTTCAAATCAGTTACAGCAGCTTCTGTGTTTAAACCCCAAATATTTCCATGAAGCAAACTTGAAAAAAGAAGCAAACACCAACCATGTGGACAATACACAACTGCCCTGCCCTGCCCTGTGTGTGACCCTGAGCAGGGGCTGTCACAGCCCAGGCCAGCTCTGTGCTGGCAGAGCTATTCCCGGGGCACCAGCCACTAGAGGGGAGTGCAATCCAGAGTGTCCAGTGCTCCATCCACCCGGGAATGTGGAGCTGTGGAGTTCCCCAGGCTCTGGAATGGACCTAGAATTCCAGCTGCACCAGCAGGATGGAATGTGAACATCTTGCTCTGCGCAGCACTGAGGTTACAGAGCTGAGGGATCCCCAAAATGACACGTGGGGTCCTCCCTCTTCTCCATCTCTCGTGGCATCTCCGCTGCTCCACACAACGGGGCTTGGCAACAGTTCCCTCACCTGGCAGTCTGCTGTGCCACAGGGAATTGCAGGGCATTTTAAATGGAAAAGGAAAGAGCTCCTGGTTCCCACTAATCCTCCCCTTCTGCAACCAAAGCATCTCTCACTCCTGTGCTTTGCCCACCTCATCATCCAGAACTACAAGGAAAACGTGTGACGGGAACAGGTTAAAAAGAAATCACTAAAAACAGGTTAAAAACAATCACTAAAGTTTTGTTGCTGGGGTGTTTGTTGTTTGTTTTTTTTTTTGAGCTGCAAAATTCTAAATATTTACAGAAAAATCTAAAAAAAAAAAAAAAAAGCACTGCAAACTGACTGCTGGGAAGGCTGTGACAGGAAAGGGGATGCAAAGAATCCCTCATGGATTGCAGAACTGTCCCCCTTGAAATTCAAACTGTTGCTCCAAAGCAAAAAGGAGCTCTAAATAGGGGGGTTTTTTTAACTATACTGTCAGACATGCCAATATTTTTGACATTTCCAAAAAACATCCAGCTTAAGGAAAGGGGTCTGCAGAGCTTTCAGTGATTAAAAAGTGATAAATTGATAACTAACTGCAGAGAGGGCCTTGGAATGGAAATATAGTAAGGAACTGTAATTAAAAGCATGATTTTCAATGCCTTCTCTAATTGAGTCTCTGATCTCTATTCCAAGCATCATTTTCCCAACAATGCACTATATGAAACTTCAGAATGGCCTTGCAAAGCTTCACCACAAGGGATTTAAAATCTGCTCAGTTTACCACATTCCTTGGCCAGGAATTGGATAAAACTCTATCTTTTAATTCACATAATTCCACCTTAAACCTTTACAGATAATTATGAAAAAAAAACCAAAGTGGTTAGCTGTGGTGGTTTTTTACCCCTATAAATGCCTTGAGAAGGAAAATATAACTCCAAGAGATCTCCAAGACTTACCTTAGGTGCTGCCTTTTTGGGCTTTGGCTCCGGTTTGGGAGGAGCAGGTTTCTGTACAAAACACACACAAGGAAACAGAGTCAGGTGAAAGCCAGAAATAAATATTTATACTTAAAATAAATACTTGTATTTTAATGTTGGTAACTTTTGAAAACTATTTACCCAACAGTTGGCCCTGTAAAAACCTATGGGCAAATTATCAGGCTAAGGAGAGAGCAGGTAATTTATAGAGCCACGAGCATTTGTATGAACAAATCCATCCTCAGATCAATATTCCTTGGCTCTGGATACTCATATGTCCAGACTGACTGTTCACTAACACAGATGTACCTCATGTGAGAAGCCTGTGACGTGTGAATACATGGAAACATGGAGTGGGAATTTTAAATACTGAATACTCAGTTCTGGTGGGAAAACCCCAACAGTTCGTCTTGAACTGCCCCCATCCCACGGGATGTGATATCAAAGGAATAAATAAGGATACTCACAGCGGATAGTCTGGCTGACCTTCTCTTTGGCTGTACAAAGAAAGATGTGTCACTAAAATTCAGAGAGCACATAAAGCACAGCTTTCTCAGAACTGCCACCCAAAATAACATGCTGTCGTGAAGCCTCACAGAAATCCCAGGTTTTATGAAAGTATGGGCATTATGGTGGTGGATTTGATGACTCCCCATCCCTGGGACTGTCCAAGGCCAACTTGGACGGGGCTTGGAGCAACGTGGGATAGTGGAAGGTGTCCCCTGGGGGGTGGAATGAGATGATGTTTAAGGTCCCTTTCAACCCAAACCATCCTGGGATCCCATGATCCCTGTGGGTCCAGCCCAGGATATTCTATGACTCCCTAGAAGTGCAGCTTTGCTCAGCTCAGCTTTTCCTCTGCTGCTGCCACTTCACCCAGCTGAGGTGGGAAGGATAAAGTTTCTGTTCTTCCAGGAGCTGAAAAGGGACATAATCTCATTGGAAAGGGACATGTTCCTATTGGAAAGAGGAAGTGTTCCCATTGGAAGGGGACATGTTCCCACTGGAAAAGGACATGTTCCCATTGGAAGGGGACATGTTCCCAGTGGCCTCTGGCTTCTGCCACGTTCCCATTGGAACTGATTGTCCCTGGCTGCAGCCACATTCCCACTGGAACTGATGATCCCTGACCTCAGCCTTGTGGAGCTGCTGGACCCCCCAGCACCCACCTCAGGCGGGTCACCCATCACCTCAGGTGACAGAGACGGCCCTGAACACCCCAAAACCAGAGGCAAGGCCACTCCCTCGATCTGAACCGCCCCCCCAACCACGAGCTGCGCGGGCTCCCTAATTTTTGTGGAGCCCTTTGAAGTGGCGACCACAATCAGCTCCTACCTCCTCCTTTACCTCGCCTTCAGCTGGAGCCTGCAAGGAAAGCGACACGTGAGAGCAAGCAACATTTAACCCCCACCAGAGCCCTGAGGGGGTGCCACAATAACACCCCCCCTCCCCTCCCCAATACAGCAATGGCGGCCCCCCCTTCCCCGCCGCCTCACGGACTACAACTCCCACAATGCCCCGCGGCCGCCGTCACCGCGCCAGGTTCGAAAAGTTCCCGCCAATTTCCCC